TTCTAGAGAATTTTGTAAAGGGATTCTAGTGAATAAGTTCGAATTGAAAAGGATCTAAGTATCATTGAGGAACCTAAACCTGTTCACCATTTTAATGTTGTTTTCAATGAAGTTATTTTGAGAGTATTCTTGAAACTTAACAAAAAAGAGTTTTAGGAGTGTTTTTGGAGGACAAGAAATCAATATTTTTGGCACCTTATGATCCAAGTTTCTAGCCCTCTCCTAATATCCAACCCTTATGATCCAAGTTTCTAGCCCTCTCCTAATATCAAACCCTATGCTCATATTTCTAGATGATATCAAACTACATCGTATTTCTAGATGATATCAAACTCTATGCATCATATTTGTAGATGATATCAAACTCTATGCATCGTATTTGTAGATGATATCAAACCCTATGCATCGTATTTTGTAGATGATATTAAACTCTATGCATTGTATTTCTAACCTGATATCAAACTCTATGCAGCGTATTTGTAGCCGTCTTACCTTATCACTTATAAGATCCAAGTTTTTTTTATCACTTATAAGATCCAAGTTTTTAACCCTCTTCTAATGTCAGACTTGATACATTGTGTTGCCACTTCGCAGACTCGCAGAGACACGAGTCTTGTGTTGTCGTAATAAGATTCAAGTCCAATAAACATTCAGTGAACTAGTTGGAGCTACTCATCAAATTGTTTACGGTAAAAAATAGTTGAACTAGTAAGTTTTTAATAGCATTGCTCAAAAATGGGGTTTTTTGGACCCTCCCCATGTATTTACATTGGTACCATAATATTGTTCTTTTAGTGCTAATCGGACGAAGAAAATATACAAAATACTGAAGAACTACTAGAGTCCTATGCCAATCACGCGCAGACGCTAGCCTAGCCACCACCCAGATCACCGCCGGCGGCCACTCTAGGAAACACCAAAAAATATCCTTCAAGATCGTCAGGCAGTTGAAAATATCCATTCGCTGGAGCCTCCCGCTTCTTCGCCGCCGCAACCGCCTTTTTCCTCGGCGGCGGCGGTGGCACCTTTGCCGGCTGAATTCGAAACTCCTGTCGCTCCGGCGTTCGGTATCCCTCCATCGGATTCCTCTGAATCTGAGAAGTTTTCTAGGAAAGATGAGAGAATTTTTTTTGAAACTTGCGGGTGACGAAAATTTTGTAGTGGATACGAGTAACAGGTAGGTGTTCTTGGACATGCACGTGTCAGAATCTGGTGAGGCTGTAATATACGTGGATCTACGTGGCTTGTTTCCACCATCCCACCTGGATTCTGAGCTGTCACCCTAGAAGAAATTGCGCGTGAAAATAAAGAATTGTTGAGCCGGGCCTTACCCTAATTTAGTATATAGCTTTTTTATTCAATTTTACAAATCAAAACCATTTCAAATACAGAATTTCAGAATCCTATAAGAGATTTAATGAAAAGGGATAAAATTCGCAATAAATAAATATATATATATATATATATATATAATATATTAAATTAAATAGACACTGTGTTCGAATAAAAGGAGCATCGAAGTGATATGTGTAAGATGTGGTTTAGTAAGATTTCAAAGAACGGAGAGTTACGAGTTAAAGGTACTCGCTTTTTTTTTTATGGGTTAGTCACGAGAGCTCTAAAACTATACAAGTATGCTAATTTTTTTAATGGGTTAGTCACGAGAACTTTAAAACTATAAAGTATGCTATATTTTTTGAAGTAAGGTGTTCCATCGATATCTTAAAGATTAACAAAAAAAAATTAAAACCCATAATAAGATTTTCAGTCGATTTTGTAAAGACTTTATGTCCAGAATTCGATCATTGGTCCTGATAATCTCTATATCTCTTGTACATGTCCACGTTACCTACTTATCGTTTTTGAGTGAAAATTACTATTCTCACAACACCAGTAAAATCCCGTGAGATGTTATCTTAGATAGAATGTTTCCACCAAAAACATACTTAATTTTGAAGTTTCTATTATTAAACCACAAAAAAAAAAAAAAATACACCTTATACATATAGATAGTAATTCTAAATCTTTAAGTCTTTTTCAGTCACCCTTTTTTAAGATCACTCTCACTCGAATGTAGTCTCGATTCATTCGAGTACCCTTCTTTACTCAAACGTCACATATTCAAGTATAACCGATTAGAAAAAAGATCAATCTTAGATGGATATGATAGTTAAGATTTTTGTTAAGAAAAGTGGAGTGGTTTAGTATGTTTCCACTTTAATCCCATAAATGACTTCCACATTGAGCAATAGAATAGCCACACTTTGATCATATATCTTTTCCCATTTCTCTTTACATGTGTCCTTTACCCCAACCTTTACCTCATCAAGATCTAATCTTTTATATATTATATATATATATACTCCCTCTTTTGCATTATTATCACACCACACCTCCACACCGTAACTTGTCAAGAACAATTTGGATACTCAATCAACATTTGGTGTATGACCCAAAAAAATATCTCTTTCTTTTAACCTAAGTTTTGATCTGTAATGATTAGATACATTATGTATCGACATCTTTCTATACAATTTATTATCTTAACTAAATTTTAAAATTATAAAAAAATATAAATAATCACTCGATATAGATTTAAAAAAATCACGCCGATTATTGGATATAAAGTGATATGCTTTCGATCGAGGACCGTATAATAATAAATTTTAATCTTCCTTTTATAAAGAACTTAGCACGTGTCAACACCAAAAGCCCACGTCTTAAAAGAAAAAAGAAAAAAGAAAAAAACTTTCCTTTCTTTTCGTTGTATCAAAAAGCCAATATCACCTTGTCTTTGCATTTGAATATCATGCTCGATCTTACTTCTTTTAGCTATAAACCTTTAATAAACGTGAAAACATCGTTCTTTCCACTCGATACATGAAATTCAACTTATTTATTAAAAACGAGCAGATGCCGTGAATTGCATCTCCTCCCATTTCCTTTCTCCTCTTTCTTTATTGATGATCATCTCTTTTTTAGAGTAAGTGATAGTAGAGACATAATCAATGATGAGAATATAAATTACGTAGAAGAGAGAATGAATAGAGGAAAGAGATATACACCGATATCAATTGGAAAGGAAAACAAAACATTTTTTGTAATAGTATGAAAACCTCTTCCTATTAGACATGTTTTAAAATTATGAGAATGTCGCCAAAGCGGACAATATTTACTTGCTATAAGCTTGAGCTATCACGGATTCTATTATACGATCTCAGTTTTAAGTATCAATTATTTAAAAAAAAGATATAAAAATAATACTTTTATTTTAGAAAATAAAATATTTGAACTTTGAAGGTCAAAATGGACAGAAAAAAGAAACAAGTTCCCCACCATCACCGCCGTCAAATTTTTCCGAATATTTACCCAATCATTTTCTTCCACGTACACACCGACCGTCACGCATCCCTAATGTAAAGAAGTACGTGGATGAATCTCAGCGGTCCACGTGTCCACTAAGTTGCGTAAAGCTGTTAAAGTGAGTAGTGACGTGTTGCGAACGAGTTCTCTGAAGCAAAGACCTGGGAGGGGCAGTATTCTGAACACGTGCGCACGTGCAACTAACAAGTGTATGTTACTGATGCCAGCTTGCCACCTGTATTGTACATGTCATTAATTTTTTTTTTTAAAGAAAATTATATTAATATAAATATCTTTCAAATTTTTTACTTTATTTAAAAAATATCTTCCAACCTTCAATAATACCAACTTAAAAGAAATCTAAAAAATATTTTTCCTATCTATTTTTAGATGAAAACTAATAATATTTTATTTTAAAAATACACCATTTTAAAACATGCACCTTAATTAAAGGCTTTATTAATACTTTTAAATTTTTTTAAAAACTCAAAACATCCTTCCAATATTCTAAAATTTTCAAAATAAAATAAAATAAAAATAGTGATAATTTAATTTTAGAGATAATTTAGGGAATGTGCTTATCCAATTCATTAATGCTATTTTAAAAAAAATTAAATAGTTAAAATTTAAAGTTTAATGATATTTTAAAAAACGTCAATAATAATATTTTTTTAAATTTAATAAATATATTATTAATAATATAATTTATAGATATTTTTATTAATTTAGCTAGAAACGATGGCATTAATTTAGAAAAATTTAATTTATTAACTATCATTATACAAATTATTCTTAACGTGAAACAGCTGTCAGCTCTTATAATCGGTTTTCATAAAAATTGTCACATTTTCTAACTATTTACCAATTTAAAATTTATTTATATATTTCTCATAATCAAACTCTAATCGGTAAAATTATTTTATTAAAATAACTTTTTTCAAATAATTTTTTATATCTTTAAGATTTAGGTCGGAAAGTTTTTGAATTAAAATGGGAACAGAAATACAAATCTTATAAATAAATTTGTCTAATTTAAAAATTCAAAAATTCGAATATTGCCAAATTTATGATCAAATATATATTATTAAAAATTTTCAATAATATAATTAATACATTTATAAATATATAATTAAAAAAAATTACAAAATCATTTTCTTTTTCAACCAAGTCAATTATCTCTGACCTCATAAATTAATTCCATTTTGAAATTAATATTATTAATTTTACAATTCAAAAATAGGAATCACATGTTTTAAATTAATTTATTTATTTATTTAAGATTCATATAGTCCATAAATTTCACATAAAAAAATCTTTTATATCATTTTTTTGTTATTAAAAAAAATTCATAAAATTTATATATTTTAGACCACGTATATTAACAAATTACTTAACAACTTGATTGTATATTAGTTCTTATACTCGAAATTTTTTAACTCACTGTATAATTAATATATATATTTTATCAAAAATAAGATACGATTCTAATATCAAATACAAACTTATTCAAAAAAAAAAAAATTGGGTAAGGGCTAGAACAAGAAGGGAATGCATGGGGCTAAAATTTTTATCTACAAAAAGGGCCTTATAGAGTGTCAGTGTAAAATTTGATGACATTTGTCTTCAAACCAAACCACTCTCCTCACCTTTTCTTCTATAAAATCCCCTTTATTTCATACCCTTTGCTCTCCAAATTACACCTCACAATAATGCTTCCTCTTCTTCTTTTATTTGGTCTCCTCCTCCTCCTCCTCCTCTGCCTCCAATGGCGCCACCCCAACCACCACCTCCTCCCCCCTGGCTCCATGGGCTGGCCTTACACAGGCGAAACCTTCAAACTCTACACCCAAAACCCCAACTCCTTCTTCTCCATTAGGCAAAAAAGGTACTCCAAAACAACTTCAAATCTGTTTTTGGTTCATATTTTGAGTTCTGTTTGTTGTTGTTTTTGTAGATATGGGGATGTGTTTAAGACACACATATTGGGGTGTCCATGTGTGATGATTTCAAGCCCTGAGGCTGCCAGAGTTGTGCTTGTGAGTAAGGCTCATCTCTTCAAGCCAACCTACCCACCAAGCAAAGAGAAAATGATTGGCCCTCAAGCTTTGTTCTTCCACCAAGGCCCTTACCATTCTCGCCTCAAGAAGCTCATCCAAGCCTCCTTTTTGCCCTCTGCAATCAAACCCTCTGTCTCTCAAATTGAGAACATCGTGCTTCGCCTTTTACCCTCTTGGGATAACTCCCAAATCAATACCTTACAACAATTGAAAAGGGTATTCACAAAATTTGATTTTTTTTCCCTTTTTTGGGACAATTTTGCATGATATGACACAATTTTGCCACACGTTTGCATGATATTATATTGTTTTTTGTAGTTTGCTTTTGATGTGGCGATGATCTCCGCTTTTGGTGACCAACAAGACTTGGAAATTGAGAGAATTAAACATCTGTACCAATGCCTTGAAAAAGGCTATAATTCTATGCCTCTTGATCTTCCCGGAACGCCTTTTCGTAAAGCAATGAAGGTATAAACGTTATAAAGTTTGGATTTTTATGCTAAAGATTTGTTTTTTTTAATGAATTATCAAATGGGTTTTAGGCGAGGAAGTTGCTGAGTGAGACATTGGGGAAATTGATTGAGAAAAGACAGCGGAGCAATGAGTATGGCGGTGGGTTGCTGGCGGTGCTTTTAGGCGGCGACGGCGACGGCGACAAAGTGGAGAAAAATAAGCTGAGTAATTCACAAATTGCTGATAACATAATAGGAGTGATCTTTGCAGCTCAAGACACGACAGCCAGTGTTCTAACATGGATTCTCAAGTACTTACATGATGATCACCATCTTCTTGAAGCTGTTAAGGTAAAAAAAAACCTGTTTGTGTTGGGGTGAGAGAGGGTCCGAGATTAGCTAATTTAGGGAATAAACATGGGTTTATAAGGAAGAATAACATCTCCATTGGTACGAGACCTTATCTTATCGGGACCTTTTTGAGGAAACCCGAAACAAAGTCATGAGAGGTTATACTCAAAGTAGACAATATCATACCATTGTAGAGCACAGTCACGCCTTTAACTTAGCCATATCAATAGAATCCTCAAATATTGAACAAAGAAGTTGTGAGTCTCTAGTAAAAAATGACTCAAGCGTCGAACAAATGGTGTACTTTGTTCGAGCACTCCAAATAAGGAGTCGAACCTCGCTTAAGGGGAGGCTGTTTGAGGGCTCCACAGGCGTCATGGGAGGTATTTTGTTCGCGAAAATGATTGTTGAGGATTGTCGGGGGCAAGTCCTACATTAGTATAAAGTCTTTTGGGAAAGTACAAACCAAAGCCACCAGAGGAAGATTGTTGAAAATTGTTGGGAGGTAGTCTCACCACTAATTTAGGGGATGGTCCTAGGTTCATGAGCAAGGAATACATCTCGAGTGATATAAAGCCTTTTGAAGAAGTTCAAAATAAAGCCACGAGAGTATATGCTCATAATATATAATATCATATCATATGGGAGAGTCGTGATTCGTAACCGTTTGTTATTGATACGGTGCAGAAGGAGCAGGACGCCATATTTGAGGAGAGGGTGAGGGAAGGGGGGCGTGGGCTTACATGGGATGACACGAGGCGCATGGCATTGACAAGTCGGGTGATCCAAGAAACCCTAAGAACAGCAAGTGTTCTGTCGTTCACGTTCAGAGAGGCAGTGGAAGAGGTGGAGTTCGAAGGTTATTTAATCCCAAGAGGATGGAAAGTTCTTCCGCTGTTCAGAACCATTCATCACTCTGCACATTTCTTCCCACACCCCGAGAAGTTTGATCCTTCAAGATTCGAGGTGCCTCTAAATCATAAATAAATAAATAAATAAATAAATAAATAAATAAATCTGTGGGTCATCCAAACATAACATCAACTCCAAACACCCCATGTCCTTTTCGATGTGTCTAACCTTAAATTATATGTTTTATATAATCACGTGATCTCTTAATCTTCGCGTTCACAAGTCGTTACAATCTAGTTGTCTCTTAATCATCTAATTTCTTAATTAAACTCGTCTCTTAAATGCATGATCTTTTTTTTATAACGTCGTTAAATGTTTGTATTATGATGAAGGTGCCACCCCGACCAAACACGTACATGCCATTTGGAAATGGAGTGCACTCATGTCCCGGCAGCGAGATGGCTAAGCTTGAAATCCTCATTCTTCTCCACCACCTCATCACCGGTTACAGGTCTCTTTTTATAATTTTTAGCTTCTTTTTACACGAGCTTAGTGTATGACATGTTTGGAAGTGATTATTATAACTCGAGTGTTACACTAGCTAAACTAAAGTGTTCGAGTTTTTTTTTTTTTTTTTTTTTTTCTCTCTGTCTCCCTTTTTGTTGGGGG